TACTATTTATTAGTAAAATAAATAATTATATTATATATTAAAAATTTAAAATAAATATATTTTTTAAAAAAATAATTATAACAAAAAATTTATTTATAAAACAATAGTTCAGATTCTAACAAAAAAAATTCTTTGATAAATTTTATATATAATTTGACTATTTTTTTTAATTTTAACTTTATTTTTAATATCTATATTTTTATTTTTAAAATTTAAATATTTTTTTCTAATCTTTTTATTATATAATAATTATATAATTAATAGTTAGTTATAAGAGAGTTAATAGGAAAAAAATATAAAAAAAAATATATTTTAATTATATTTTTATTATATATTAATTATATTGTAAAGATATTTAAAAAATTAAAATTTTCTACAAAGTATTTATTTTACTAAGACATCTGTCTTGAACTTTTAAGTAAACTTGTTCAACTTATCATTTTATATATATCTTGTAAAAACCTAAATCCATTAAAGAATTAATAAATAAATAAATTATTAGCAAAACTATTTTTATTTATTAATTATCTTTTGAAAAAATTAATCTTTATTATTATGTTCATTATTAGAGATGCAACATAACTTTAACCTATGTAATTAATAAAACAATAATACTCATATATATATTATCGATTTATTACTTAACCTGAAGTTTCAACTCTATAATATTAAGAATACATAAAATAAGAACATAAGTATACACTGTTATAATAACATGTTAAACGGTATTAACAAAATTCATTGATTTAGATCTTATGCATAACGTCTTAAACTTCTTTTTTTTGTTGGCAATTTCAGAACTTAAAGCTTATATATGACTAGTACTACAATTAATATTCGCTTCTGAGTGAAGTTCTTGAGGTTACTGATTATTTTTGATTATTTTTGCATAATAAATATAGACATTCTTTCGAAGTTAGAAATGGCTTTTACAGTGTTTTTTTATTAGTGAAACATTACGTTCTCAACAAGTACTTTAAACTGTATAAATAAATTACCCAGGCAATTGGTTTACATCAGTCAATCAGACGAATGTCTGCCTATTACTATTAAAATTAAACTCAGCATGATTGATGAAAGGTCTCCCTTACGATGGTGAGAGTAAAAAAAACAGAGAATAAAGCTCAATAACAGTAAGCAGGCTAGTAAAACAACAAATGGTTTAATTCTTAAGTGTACGCTTTGAACGAATTTAGTTAGGCGAAATTTTATAAACCGGTATAACCACAAGCCTGATTTAGTGGAATTTCCTTATATTAAGAAATTCCCGAGCTGCCGGCCAAAAAGATATGGGTCGTAGTATATCAAAAATTCTCTATATATCTAATTTTAACAATCGTGTCCTCTAAATAAAATTTCATTCTGAAAACTTTTACTTAGAAGTCGGAAGTTAGTCATCTTAGTAAATTTTTATGTCATTTACAATTTCATATGTTTTTCGCGTTTGTTCTGTTACACGAGATCATGTGATTTTATCGGATCCCGATAGGATCGAAAGTGATCTTCAGCCCGGGATTTTCTTGACATAAGGGTATCCGATATGGCATAGATGTCTCAAAAATCACAAACAAAAACAGGTAAAAACAAGAATAATTTCATGTATGTATCATGGGGTTAAAAGCCACAATAATAATAGAGAAATTTAACATTATCGTTATAATAATCTAGACAAAAAGCTTCACACCCCACTTAAATGAGTAATACGAATACGTAGTGGTGTATAATACATAAAATTAGCAAACACGTGAGTACAACTGAGTATAAAGTAATATAAAGTAATTTATTCGACATTTCATATGATCATGTGAATTTTTTTGCCATGATATTTTTTTGCATGAAATTACGTAATCAGTTTTGCAAAACATCACAGAAAAAACTTCACATGGTCATATTAACTATCCAATAACATCATTATTCGGCATACGTACGACAAAAAAAAATTGCCTGTTATTTTTTGTCGTCTGCCGAATAATGTATACATATCGTGTATAATATGCAAATGTATACAAACATGACGTTAGAGTAAACTGGACTTCAAGCTTTATAACTTATAAAATCAGGTCAGTGAATCACTAATAGAGGGCAACTACCTGGTTTTATTTTTATGGGCCAATAAAGTTATTCTTGCAACGAATCTTTTATAATGAACTCATCTAAGCTTTATAACAGTATAATAAACTTTTTTAATTAGAGCCCGGCATCAAAAAAAAGTAAACTACTTCTATAAGTAACATAAAAAATTTTATTATAAGAACTGTAGGTTTATAATATGAGAGTTAACTGTATACATATGCTGTTATTCATAAGCCGACACAAAAATAAAGGTGTCCGTGTCCCATATGTAGAAATACAAGAAAACAACATATTACCGCTATAGTGAAGTTCCCACTACTCGAAAATATTATATAATTAATTTTATTATATTAGGAGTTCATTCTAACAAAGGAGCTGTATTTGGTACTGGTTCTTTTCCTCATTTAACCCCTGAGTATATTTTTAGTACTCTGCAACCTTTCATGGCTTCGTTTTAATTATTTATTTGTGTTAATTTGTTTTATGATTGAAGTGAAAATCAGTTATTAATCAAGTTATAGCGAAAGTTTACTATAACGAGTTGGATATAACGAACTTTGAAAATTTTAAATTTATATTATTGAGTTTGTAACATATAGATTTTGTATACTTAATAATTCAATATCATTTAAACAATTTAATTCATGTTTACTGTGAGGGCAATTAATTGCAATTTTTGCAGTTTGAAAATGACGTCAAAACTTGTAGTTTTTGATTAAATTGTACAAACCACAAGAATACTAATTTACATTCCTTTACAAAGACATGTATATAGTACAGCATTCTAAATCTTTTTTTTTAAATCGATTTCAGTTATAAGCAAATGTTACATATGGAAAATATCAGTGTAATTTATGTCCTTCCAGTCATAGTTGATAGTGTTATTCCAAACTATTTTATATAATATATTATGAGTATAGTATGCTAATTTTATATACTCAAATGTGCTTTTGCAGTATACTCCACTACTTTACTAAACCATACACCACTACTATTCGTAATACCGGCTTTAGACTACATTGATCATGCTGAACTTAAATAAATGTGATAAATAGCAAGATTTGTTTAAACTCTAAATAATCGAATATGGATAAAATATTATCAATATTCGATGAATGACCTCTTGTAAAGATGCATTGGTTCCCCAAAATGATTGATATATTTGTACTTTAGTACTTAAAACGAATGCTAACATTCATAGCATCCGGTCAAAACCGAAATTTCGGCATAAAATTAATAATAATTACCTACTTAATTATTAATTCCAAAAAGGGTCCCTTAGGTCGATAGCGCAATGGTCAGCGCTCCAGTGTCACAATTGAAAGGTCGCAAATTCGAATTCAATTGGGTGACAAGAACCTGCTGGGATCACGAATGGAATGATCTACGGGAGGATCCTTTCCATTAAAGAAGTCCGCCGACATAGCCACTAAAAGGAGAATCCGTCAGCAAATGACGTTAGCCCAGTTTAAAAGCGTTAATGAACCATATAAAGTGCGATCCGATTAGTGGGTCATGTAAAGTTAGGGAACTGCGGACCGCGGCCAAGACCCGGGATGTCAAATGACGGACTTAATGGAGCATGAGCTATCTTACTGGTTCGGTGACGTTTCAGAGGCCATATGCCTGCCGCTAGAACGATAACTCCGGCCTTAGAGAGTGAGTGAAATCCTAAGGTGTCTAGAATCTTCATGATAGTGGACATATTAACCAAAATGTATTCATATCATATCGGAGGATCTGCACAGTCTAATAAATAAAGGAGCCTATCAATTATCATTAAAAATTAAGTGTTACACTCCGAATAGATTGCGCAACGTCACTATATTGAAATATTAATAAGCATATATACAATTAACCAATCAAATTCAAATTAGATATTTAATTTTATAATGTTTTCATAAATAGTTTCATGACAGTTTCATAAATAATCCATAACTCAGATGATAATAAACCAATCATACAATTCATACAATTCAATTTTATTATATTTTTAATATTTAATAGTAACATCACATGAATGTTTTGATAAAATTTATGAATTATTATCGTTTATGTTTAATAATCACCAAAACCAACAAAATCCGCCCATCAGGGACGGGGAATACTTTCATAAATTTTTAATTTTAAAGACCATCACATGATAAATAATGATGTGATTGGATATAATTTTTCATTTTATTTCATTTTTATTCTTAATGTAAGTATTCGCCGTCCCTGCCACCCATACTCAAATTTTAAATTATTTTAATCCCGATCTGGTCAGTTGTTCGATGATTTTTAACAAAATTATACCTGATTGGTTTCTTTATTTATTATAAAAATCAAAAGTCCAATCATTAATTATTAATTTTTCAATACTCATTCGATCTTCATAAATACCAAATTAGGTAGGGATGTAGTCTGACTACTTTAGTTTTTACAGTACAATTTATATGTAACCAGTAGTTTGAATAGGTTGGTTACATATAAATTGTACTGTAAAAACTAAAGTAGTCAGACTACTTAACATCCCTAGATATTGGTATCGTATTAACCAAAAATTTATATGTATCATATTGTTTAATTAAATAGTGTTTCAACCCACAATTAACCACTATTTTTTAACCAAATAGGTTAAAAAGTATTTATAAATCCCTAAAAATGATGATAATGATATCATATTGTATTAACCCAAAAAAGTATCATACTATTTTTGTTAGATAATTTTTCAAAACTCATTATTTCCATGTATTTCAAATTAGGTTGTTGAATTTATTTACGAAAGAATGATGTTGATTTTGTATTAACCAAAACATTGTTCATACTGTTTATTATAAATACAGTAGTATTCTTTTAATCGAAGAAAATTATCTTAAATTATCATCATCATGAAAAAACTTTGGTTGATTCTTATTCTGACATTCTTGATCTTCACTGTAGCTGAAGCATCGAGATATAGAAGAAATAATCCTCTACTTTCTTTGCTACAAAAACAAAAACATGAAGCTCGCTCTTCTTCATCTACGGCTTTAAAGCCAACAGATCAAACTTGTCCTTCAGCACAAATATTATGTGGAGATGAATGTTGTGATAAAAATCTCTGTTGCGATGGGTTAGCATGTTGTAGTAAACCAGGTCAATGTTGTGGAGGTGCCTGTTGCGATCAGAAATTTTGTTGTGGGTTTGAATGTTGTACCGGCCCTGATCTTGTGTGTTGTCCGAATAATGATGCCAAGGTAACTGATTGTTGTTCTAAAGAAGGTTGCCCAAAAGATGGATCGGGTTGTCAAGATTAAGTTTATTCTTAGTAAAACTTAAGAAAAACTTTATAATTTAGCAAATGGAGAGGCAGCCACAAGAAAAAAAAACATTTATATCAACAAAGTCCATAGATATATATTAGAGGAAATTTTTATATGTTGAGTTTACACTGTATACAAACATATTCATATATTTATGAAAATATTTTATTTTAGTTATTAGGTGTTACAACCTGTTGTTGAACAATGGGCAGTGAGATATAATAAATTATCTGATACAAGACAAATTGAACATTTAAATTTTATATAAAATATAGGATATATAGTATTTATTATCAAAATCTGTATACAATATAATTTATAAATAAAATGTGATTGTGTGCACTTTTATTAACATTATAAAAACTAAATTTATAACTCAAGTTCCCAGTAAGTACTTTGTATGATTTGTATTTAAAATACACTTTTAAAAATATGCCTTTAAAAATGTGTAAAATAATTACTGTTCTGGTTGTTCTAAAATATAATTATGACTACTAGTATATAAAAATTGTTAAAACCTTCAAATTACTTAGGATTCGCAAGTTTTTGTTTAGTTAAATATATAATAAGTTAGTCAGTTCCACTCATTTTGCAGTAAATCATTTTATTGATAACTTAATTCTAGGGATGTTAAGTAGTCTGACTACTTTAGTTTTTACAGTACAATTTATATGTAACCAACCTAGTCAAACTAGCTGGTCACATATAATTTGTACTGTAAAAACTAAAGTAGTCAGACTACTTAACATCCCTACTTAATTCACAAACAAGTTTAAATTGTGAACAATTTATTTATTGACAGCTTATTTCATAAACAATTTATTTCGTAGATAGCTTATTTTACAGGTATATTGTCACTAGGCGTTGATTAAGAATTAAAATGATCTTACCTAAAATTAATTTGTAATATAATCTTGTCTGCGAATTAATCACTATAAAATATTCATTGTAAAATAATTTGTTGAAATATTGATTTAAATAATTTGTTAAAATATTGTTTATAAAATAATATGTTAGTGAAATGATACGGATACCTTTCAATATACCTAATTGAACTATGCTTTTTACAATTAAGAGGGAAAAGAAGTAAATAAATAATTGCAAGAGGTGGTAAAACCTGGTTCATATCAGGAAATTTCATAAGGACCAAGCTTTAGGCGTTCCCAAAAAACTTTGTGAATAATTTCCATTATATTTAGGGTCATAAATTCCGTGAATATGGGAAACATGGAATATAAAACACGAATCGACCTTTTGTATAAGGGTACAGTAGACGGCAAAAGTAACGCCCGATGATCAATTTCCTAATAAAACTAGCTTATAACCCGTGCCTTTGGCACGGAGTTTGTTAAAAATAAGAATTAAATGAGTTGTGAGTAGTTTATTTTAAAACTTTTGTTAATAAATAAATTTTGTACTTATGGATCGGTTAATTAATAAGATGAATAAAATTAAAGCCATGTTAAGTGCTTTTAATAATAATAATTTCTATACTTATTGAATATAAAAAAAATTTGAATTAAAAAAAAATAAATTTTGTTTTATACTGAGTAAATTAATGCGAATAAAGGATTTATTAATATACTTTCTAAGTTTTATTGGGCGTTTAGATATTAGTTTCTGATTGGATGAAATAATTTAGATTATATTTACAAAATTTTGATATTAAGATATAAAAGGAGATTTATAAGTAATTTGTGGGTTACTGGTTATTTTTGAAAAACTTTTAATTTTTTTATGATTTTTATGTTACTCTGGATTTTGTAATTTAATTGATATACAGTATGTAGTTTTGTGGTTTTTAAAGCTAGGTTTGCTAAAGTTAAGTTTTTGGTGAGTTTAAGATTATTTTTTGATGTTGTTAGGGTTATTCATTATATTAGTTTTACTTGCTTTAAGAAACACTTGTATAGAAAGAAATTCGTCTGTTTGTGAGCTTATTAGATGTTCTTAAATAATGAAATAATTTTGATATATGTAATTTTTTAATGTAATAAAATATTGTATTAAAGGGAAGCAATAGAAGATTTGGAAATAGGAAAAATCTAAGATTAATGTAGAGATGCAATATAATTTCTTCTACACAAAAATTTTAGCAAATATTTTTTATTAAAGTGCAGAGTGCGATTCTTTAGTCAAAATTTTAAGTAATGGACAGGTTTTAAAAAATGTGTAATTTTCACGTTATATTTAATTTTGCAATCTTATTTGTATAATTGTTGAAGAAATCTGTTTTGATCAGGGTATCTGCTGTGACAGGTAAAACGGTGAGTCTGTTGTTCCAACGGGCAAGTCCTCACATAACGATACGATTTCGGCGAACTAAGGCTTCAAGGCGTGAATTTGACTTGGGCAAGTATAAGTTTAATTTAATTTTATTTTGTATTGTGTTTTGTATAAGCACTACAACTGACTACTGCACTTTGAACTATATACTGTTAAGGGTAGAGGGTATGTCGATCAATTTTCATAGTAAACAAACGGCAAATTTTTTGTGTTACATACGTGAAAATCGAACACTCACATGCATATCTAGACGTTCTATGGTAAAATGTATATCTATCTCAATCTTGCTACAACTTGATCGAGAAATTATGAATCCTTATAAGGATTAGAGCTTGTATAGAGACTGCCCGGTCTTTTTCTGGTGAGTTTTTTTGGTTTACGATATAATAATCTGCGTTGTTCTATAATAAACTTGCACACATACTTACACTAATACTTACATACTTACACCCATACTTACACGCATACTTACACGCATACTTGCACACATACTTACACTAATACTTACATACTTACACTAATACTTACATACTTACATACTTACACGCATACTTACACGCATACTTACACGCATACTTGCACACATACTTACATCCATACTTACACGCATACTTACACGCATACTTGCACACATACTTACACTAATACTTACATACTTACATGCATACTTACACGCATACTTACACGCATACTTACACGCATACTTACACGCATACTTACACGCATACTTACACGCATACTTACACGTATACTTACACGCATACTTACACGCATACTTACATGCATACTTACATGCATACTTACACACATACTTACACGCACACTTGCACACATACTCTGGGTATAACAAACCTTATTATAATAACTCTAGATATAATGAACTCTAAATTTTATTTTTTAATTTTTTTTTGGTATTAAGGTGAGGTCTTGCTCATATCTTTATTGGTAGTTTAAAAGTTAGCAATTACATAGAGTTGCTATGTACAAAAGTAATTTTCTATATAAATGTTATAGTTAAAACCAACACTTGTAGTTAGGATTAAACTGTTGAATTGTTAACTATATAATTATTGTTTTAAATATAAATAAAAGAAAAATTATACTCAAGAATAAAAACTCAGATATATTTTTTTGTGACTTAAACTTACTAAAGTGATTAAGACTTACCTAGATTTGTAAATTTAGAATATTATTATAGAAAATATTATATTTGATTTAAAGGATAATCAAAATGTTAATTTTATGAATCACATAATTGATAAATGGATAGATATTAGAATTGGAATGTAGTTGGTCAGGTAGTTCACATAGGCAGAAATAAGTATAACTTTTATAATTAGAATTTCTTTTGTTTCTTTGGCTTGATTAAAATAAAGGTTGAAAATAAGATGATTTAAGTTTTTCTTATTGTTTTGAATTAATAAAGTTTATGCATTATAGTTTTCATATTTGTTTATAAGAAAGTTCATTAACTTTAAGTAAAATAGTAATAATTAATTGTAAGATTAGTTTATATGAAATATTAAAGGTTTGTATAGTATTAATTAAAGATTTAGAAATAAGTTTTTTGAGTGTAATACTAAGATAGTGTAAGTTTGTTTAAAAAGATATATAGTAAAAAACATAATAGTTACTAATTTTATAGATAAGTTCTTTTTACTGATTTATAGATAAATTGAAATCTGTATTGTTAATATATTTAAATATACTGATTTGAATAATATTGAAAATAAGTAATAAGTTTGAACATGTATATTAGTGAGTTGGAGAATCAACTAAGTTACAATAAAAATAGTTAGTATTATAAAATGTATGTAGATAAGTTTTTGTAAAAATAAAAATAAATATAAAGTTCATTTAATAAAGTTTTAATTTTGAATAATTTAAAATAGTTAAGTTTAAAGTTAGTAATATTATATAGTATAAATAATAAATTGTATTATTTTGCTAACAAATTAAATAAATTATTAAAAACATTATCAGAGTGAACTAGTATTTTATGAAAGATAATTTGGTAATTATAAGATTTGATAATATTAAGCAGAGTATATCATATAGGCCATGAGCTAAATTTGAAAAGTTTGTTGAGATTTAAAAGAGTAGTATATATTTTAGAATATTTGGTGATTATAGACTAAGAGTCAGAAAAAATATGGTTGAGATTATTAACTTGTACCTATCCAATACCTATTATATATTGCTTTGTACTAATGTTAATTACTAAGCTATTAGTATAGAAATTAAATATATATTGAATTAAATTAATTAGAGAGTATTGTTCAAGTATATTCATAACTTCACCTTGCTTAAAAATTCGAATATAAAAGAATTAGAAATATAAATAGTAGAAGCAGAAGGTAAGAATAAAGAATGTTTAATTGTAGTTGAATAGATTAGATTAATGTAATTTGCATCAAAGTTAAGTGAATTAGAAAAAATTCTTTCAAAATATTGAATAAAAATTATTGATGATATATTAATTATATAAAGATTGTAATACTATAAGAGTTAAAATAATAACTAGTACAAGATAAGTATCAAATTAGTGAAAAAAAGTAGTGAATTAAGAGCTCTTTATTAATATCAGTTTTTCAGTATATAATAGATATTTGATATCATTTTTAAAATATCAACAAATTTTTTTTTACCAATAATAATATCATTATTATTATATATAAGCAACTAGTATTTAAGTTTTTTAAAGATAT